AACGCAAATACCACACACACACACCACACACCCAACACACCACACACAACACACCACACACAGCACACACACACACCACCACACACACACACACACACACACACACACACACACACACACACACACACACACACACACACCACACACACACAATCACACACCCCTCCAACCACACCACACACACACCACACAGCACACACACACCACACACACGCACACACACACACACAGCACAAACTACCTATTTTAAATCGCAGCTTAAAAATCTATTTTAATCGCAAATTAAAATCACTGTTCTGAGTTAGCTGGAATTCATATCGCGCTTAAATAGATTTTTAAGCGGCGATTAAAATAGGTAGGTTTGTGTGTGTGTGTGTGTGTGTGTTGTGTGTGTGTGTGTGTGTGTGTGTGTGGTGTGTGTGTGTGTGTGTGTGTGTGTGTGTGTGTGTGTGTGTGTGTGTGTGTGTGTGTGTGTGTGTGTGTGTGTGTGTGTGTGTGTGTGTGTGTGTGTGTGTGTGTGGTTATTTGCGTTACTTATATCTATAGGCGCGTATTCTATTCATAGATCGTGGCCTTCCATACCTCACGCACACGCACACGCACACACACGCAGGATATATAATTTTACGCTGCCAGGGTTGAGGACAATGACACGCTAGACCGTCCTCTGTGAGCAGCAGTTAGGACAGCATACTAAATTACACTCCCTGCCTAGAAGGGTACCCAACATAATCATTACGAGAACGCTGTCAGGTTCCCACCCAATCGTGGGCCATTTTTTATGAAGTGATTACGTAGTAAAAATGTTAGGGTCGCTGTATAAAACGACATTGAAGGAAATCCCCGGGGAATAAAATTGATAAGTGATCTTATATGCCACCGAGGTCACTAATAATTAGTTTTAACCTGACTATCCAATCCCAGCGTTAATAGCATGCAGAAAAACACGATTGCCCACAGAGGAGAGACGGCGAGATGTGTGATAACTTCAGGGTAGACGATAAACGCTAGACCAGGTCCTGCAGAGAAAATATATTATTTAACTCCTGAAATAATAATACATTTGCGATTATTATTATCCACACTCGTGTAAATGTTACTCCTTCAGGTAGAGCCACGACACATAGTGCCGGTGCATTACGTTTGTACCGATACAATACTTCCCGTTTTATTAGTCTCGCAAATCAACAATTCATCGTAATTTATTTTCACGAATTACAAGATTATTAGTGATCTGATTGGATCTAGTATGTATTAGTAATGAGTCGCTTAGAGCATGATTTGGATGCATGACCACAGTGCGTATATATATCATGTATAATTAATTGTTATTAACAGCGTTGTCCAATAGACAATCCCAAATTAGCATACAAACAAAACCACGAATGTGTAACGATACATCAAGGTGGAACTCTGTTTTTTCATACCCGTAATTTATCGAGTACACTAAGTAACATATGCAACCATCCGTGGGATGGAAATAAAATGCAGACCTGTAGCAACGACGTCTTTAACTTCCAGGTTGGTGATTTCAGCCATGTATCCTAGAGCCGTGAACACGACCAATCCAGCGAAGATGCTCGTGGCACTGTTAATGATTGGTACGAGGTAGGCCTCCCTGAAAGTAGACATCACACACCAATCAAGCATGTAATCAAAATCTACTGTACAATATTTAAAAAATATAGCAAAATCGCAATTCAACATCGGATATTTATTTCGGATAAACAAATTATTTCTTCTGTCAAAGCAATTTTAAGTATATATGCACATAATCACATGTAACACGTGTTGTGAAGAATACAACAATAAAGAATCTGCCCAGAGTAGACTGAGAATGGAGCCGTGTTTACAACGAAATCGGCACCCCAGATGAAGATAGACTTCCGAGATATAACATATAGGCCAATTCGATATTGATGCGGTTTACAGTCGTTGGCAAACAAACAGAGCGTGAGAAAATAAGAGTCAGATAGAAAGAAGAAGAAAGAAAGAGAAGAAGAGAGGAAGAGAGGAAGAGATGAAGAGAGGAAGAGAGGAAGAGAGGGGGACAGCTAGGGATGGAGGGAGGAAGATCCCGATCGAGCGAGCGATAGCAAGCGAGAGAGAGAGAGAGAGAGAGAGAGAGAGAGAGAGAGAAGAGAGAGAGAGAGAGAGAGAGAGAGAGAGAGAGAGAGAGAGAGAGAGAGAGAGAGAGAGAGAGAGAGAGAGAGAGAGAGAGAGAGAGACGAGAGAGAGAGAGAGAGAGAGAGAGAGAGAGAGAGAGTAGAGAGAGTAGTAGTACGTACGTACGTACGTACGTACGTAGTACGTACGT